AATATGTATGCATGCATGCATGCATGTATTCGTTGTGAAATAAAATAATGCATTAGTTAAAAAAAAATAACTTAGAGTTTGATTGGGACAGTTATAGCTGAGTTATAGCTGCTTGAAGAAGTAGATATGAAGTTGTCGTAGAAAAAATTGTTTTTTGAAAAATTACGGTGAATTAGAGTAATATAGTATTTGTGAGATTCATAGTTTATTTCGTGGCAATATTTTAATTACTTTTGTTTTGGTTTAAATACAGACATATAAATATCATTAAGACCAAAAGTTCACAGTTAGCTTAGTCACCATTAACTATAGAGATACTAATATTAAAAATATAAAAAATACATGGCTCCAAATATCATTAGTTAATTTGTCATTAATTATTATTTTTTTAAATTATGACTTTTGTTTGTGTGAAAAAAGCATTTATTGTTCTCTTAAGAAAACTCCCAATCTGTGTCTACCAAATGACTACATTTAAACACATTAAAATTATAAAGGGCATTTACATACATGCCACTCAATGCCTACGTATTTAAGTAAATAAAACCTGAACTCTACTTTGTACATTTATACCACCCAAATCTAATAACACATGAAAAATATCATTTTCTTAAAGTCCGTTTGGGGAAGCTTATAAGTGCGCGGGATTTTCAAAACATCACCGTATTGTTTGGTTCACGTGTTTCACCAGCTTTTGGGGAAGCTTATAAGTGCGCGGGATTTTCAAAACACCGCCGTACTGTTTGGTTCACGTGTTTCACCAGCTTTTTTGAAACTGTGTTTGGGTTTTTACACTAAACGCAGGCCACGGTGGGTAGTTTTTCAGGATAAACAGTTTATCCTGAAACGCACAAGCTGCCCCAAACGGACCCTTAGTCAGTAAAGCTGGTAGATATAAAAATTGAAGTTTATGTGTTAGATATGTAAATACAGGAATTGAGTGGTACGTATATGAAATAAAAAGTCGAGTAGTTATTTTTATAATAAACAAAAAAAAAAAAAAACATTGACCGAAAAACTGAAACACTTCTGCAGTATTAGTTGAGCAGACTTTATTAGAACTAATAATATCCTAATTTGCCGTTAACGAACTGACTCTGACACGCCTCATTCCAGACAAATTAGTAAGCCAAATATTAGGTTAAGTCCAGCTTGTTTTTCAATCATAATTCTATGATTTTTTGTTGATGGCGTTTTCAATTCCTTGAAAGACGGTCAAATCGGAGGCTTATTTCTACTATTAATCATGGGCCCAATGTGTACTTTTCAAATATTCGTCAGCTTCGAGCATGAAATTCTTTCGTATGAGAGAAAATATTCAATCATCGGACCACCATCTTATACACATATTCAATAAAATTGTTGAATTATATCAGTGGCCAATAAATGTTCATTAATGAAAAATATATTTATATTTAGGAAATTAATTTATATTTAATACAAGAAAATGGAAAGTAGATAAGCTGAAAGTGCAGTTAAAAGAGCAGATTAATATTTAGCATGAAAGGGAATTTAATCTAGCTGAAACAGTGGAGCTGCAAGCTAAAGGTTAGACCCAGTTCCATCTTCTAAGCAATTATGATCCAGGCTTTTGCTGGAGTAAGCTGGCTCCTCTTTTGTTTATAACATATATATATATTAATATGGTGCTCAATATTGTTCAAAACAGGGAGATGAAAAGCAGATAAAGAGACAAATATAAATAATATAAATTGAACAAAAAAAATTAAGTATTTATCTATTCATAGTTTGACAAATCATTTGAGTCATTCTTTTCCCAGTTTTATGTTTTAGCCAACGATCACAACTTGATGTGTTTTGAGGAGCTTTTAATAATTTTAGAAAATTATGTCATTAGAAATAATTTTTATAGCCAATTATGCCAAAAAGGGGCGTCCATGCAAATCACATTGGTTGACAAAAAAGTGAAATGCTTGAGTGCAAAATATCAATTGGCAATGAGGGATTGTTACGTTACACTAAAGGCATTAATAGGCTTACTCCTCGTGTTCGGCTCGTTTATATTTCGAGCTCAAAAGGTGTGTTCGTGTTCGCTTAGCGAGCCGAACACGAGCCGTTCATGAACAAAGAGTCGGTTTGACAACCCTAATCACGTAGTCATAAGATGTTAAGGATTGGGGCAAGATTTAAAAATCATTTGAATCTAAATTAATAATTTTTATTTTATTTTCTTCATTAATACTTTTAATTTGCT